AACGGACCGACGAATCTTGAAAGCTTAGTCTCCAGACTTGAAATCAATGCGGATGGAGCTTCTGTGAGAATTAGATACAAATTATACTCTAATAATGATAAAATCATACTCTAATAATGATAAAATCATACTCGAATAATGATAAAATCATGGCGTCACAACGCGGACCTAAATTAAACGTTTGACGAAATTAGTTCAATGCACAGTATAGTTTGTAAGAAAAGGCTGCTACTCTGAGCAGTTCATAACAAATCACTATCTCAAAAACAATTCATAACAAAAGAATCTTAAAATAGAACAATAAAAAAAGAAAAAACCCGGACCCTTTAGCTTGTGGGGGGTTCGTCCGAACGCCCTGAAGCCCCCCAGCCTACGGACCTGCTCACGACTTCTTCTGTCAAAACAAGTTGAGCAATAACATCAATGAAGAACAGATTTATTGCCTTTTGTCTGTCGGTTGGGCACCAGTAACAGCGTTAGCCAATTGTTGCGAGAGATGAGAGAGAGCTAAGTCCTGATCACACCACAATCAATTTAGGTTAGGGAAAATAGTTATTTGAAATCTGAGATCCAAAATTACGCGAAAAAAATCGAAAAATTATCGCGGGATTCAATGTAGCAACATTTGCTGCATTTGTTCAGTATTTGCTAAAATCGTACGAAGTCGTTCAGCAATACGGCTAATTTGTGTTCTAGAGTTGGCATGAACTAATAATAACCCAAATACCTTACATATACCTGCTCCAAGAACATTTCTACCAAACGTTCAAAATTCATTTTAACCATAAGGAAATATACTCAGAAGGGCTCAATCTATCCTTTTTGTAAGCAAAATATCCATAAACACAGGTAAAAAAGGAGTACTACATGCTTCAGGGACCGGACACAGCCAATATGTCGTCACGATTCCCAAACCGAACGATCACGTTTTGCAAAAGAAGACAGGAGGCATGATAGAATTCATTTGTGTTCGGATGGGAGTACTTTTCGTTCTTTTTCCTTTTCTTTTTCCTCCTTTTTTGTTATTTCTCAACTCTCACTTATCGCACAGTCCGCTTATTTTAGGAAATCAAAATCACGAACCAGTGTCAGCTTGTAAAGCTGTGAGATTGACTGGACGATCACGAACTTCCATTTCACCAGCGGCTTTCATTTCTTCTCCCTTTTCTTTTGCCTGATAGTAAAAAAGATTTGAAGTGACTGACATAGTCTGCAATGCTTTCATACAAACGAAAAACAGAGAATGTCTCACCATTTCCTCAGCCATTTTTGTCCAGTCTGGCTTACCCTCACTTGTGATGAGNAAAACTGATTGTAGCTTACCGTGTTTCATCGTCTTTTTGCTGTAGTTTCTTTTCCTGGCCAATGCATTGCAGGTTAAGGAAAATAAAAGAAATAGAGCCAAGAGTTTGAAGCCAAAAAACTCCATACTTGTTGGAACTTTCACTCTGCTGAGACAAAAGATATATATCAAAAAAACTGAAAAAACTGAGATTTAACTAGTAAAACAAAATCAAATATGTATTGTRTTTTTATTGGCTTATGGGACCTTTGATCTGTAATTAGAACAAKGATGAATAGAATATACTAGTAAAATAAGAAATTCTGACCATTGACAAATATATCAATATATCAATGAGTGGCTGTTCTTTCAAAGTCTTAAACTTGTGATTTGTCCATGGTACCACAGATCATTTAAGCAATAAAGGACGGATAGCCGTGCGCTTATTAGTGAAATCATCATCAGATTGATTTCTACACGAGGAAGTAGCTGATTCCAAAAGTTGTTTATAAAGTTGTTTATATAAGKTAGTGAATAGTTATCCATGATCCAAAGTCAAGCTAGAAAAGCTTACAAACTATTCTGACTTACCTTATTGATTGATGTGGTGGTAATCAGAGCTACCRGCCACTGATTGAGATATAGTTMAGACATCGTATATCAAATTAGTTAATACCTGCTTGACACGCTGTAATGGGCGTGTAGGCTCTTCTGATAGAGTTACCGAGCTAACCAACCATAATATATGTGTCTGGGACATTTGAAAGTTAAACAAAGGAATAGARCGATATATTTTACGTAACGTTTCCAAGTAATGTTGTTTAGTTGATAAAGAGAACAACAAACAAGTCATAATTTGCATATATCGTGTTTTAATTTTTTTGGTAAGAATATTCAACATAAATTAAGGTTCCAAAAATTCTTTACWACGTCAATAACCATTAATTCGCTAAATATCTAATGTTTAGAATTAAAATTCTTTCTGTGAATTTTAAAAACCATTATATGCAAATGACTTTGTTGTTTTCTTTTTGTCTGAACAACGTTGATAGGATTGACTGTATAAGGAAAAAAAACAATATAAAAATGCATGAAGCGAAATTTTTCTAAATTCACTAAGAACTTGCTAAAAGCCATATTGTGATTGTTTTAGGAACGAATTCACGGTTTTTTCCCATAGTACGCGTACTAACCGTACTCATTTCACCGTGTTCTATTTCTTTATGAAACTATAATAGCTCTCTAGATAGGGTCATAAAGCTACTGAATCCACATATTGTGTCTATTGTATTTTCTATTATGATATCATTTGAACCTMTTCAAGCATATCAGCAAGGAACGCTATATGCGAGGTCTCTTGTTTTTTAAAAATCAAATCTAAATAATAGGAGTTTCTGATTCGCATGCAGTGTTTCAACATGATCTACGATTGTTTGTCCGGCGTATCAAGACATCGAGATGGTGGTCGAAAAAACGATCATACATTGATCCAGCCTCGCCTCCAGAACTTCTCTACTCACAATTTTTAAAATGGTGTACAGCGAAGGCCCTGACATCACCCAGTCATGCGACGCCCAAGTGAAGTATACTAAAACAGTCAGGAAAACCTATCTTTAAGAGAGAGATCAACTGACCGAAGACTGGTCCTTTTCTCCTCTTGAAATGAGATTGACTTTGATCAGAATTCTAGCATTAATAGCTAATCATTGTATAAACTCAGTGATAATATACACCTAATTGAAAAAACGTAGTCGTGTTCGAAAAGGTCACTTCATAGAAGCTAAGACCGAAAGGGATTTTGAATACCACTAAATTGGGATTACATTTGCATATACGGTATTTAACATGGTGCACGGTAAAGCAAGTAGAGTTAGTAAGATTAACAGCATGATAGTCTTTTATGCTGGAGAGCTGTTTGTATAAAATTAGCCAAATTGTTTGTCTTCCCAAGTACCTTTTCGGTCTTAGCTTCTATGATTTGACCTTTTTGGACTCGACAACGTTTCTTCAATTAGGTGTAATACAAAATGCTTGATCTGATGGGCAACATGGTGGTATTAATTTCATCTTATTCATATCGTTATTTACTGTTTAACAATTGTAGGATAATGGCGCTGTATGTCCGATCTATCTCTATAGACATTCACCTGTATCAACTATGGAATTCTAATAATAGCCGACGTGCTAATTTTGGATCGGCTGGTACCCACACACAAAGGAAGCAAGGCGAGGCGCCATGCAAAAAACTCAGTCATTCGTTAAAAGACAATAGTTTTTGACGAGTGACTGAGCTTTATGCATGGCGCCGTGCCTTGATTCTTTTGTGAACATGTCTACAGGGCAAAATTCCAACATCTGCTATTGCTTAGCATTTCTCGATTTCAAACCTAGTTTGAAATGAAAGGGCCCTAGTTTACACACAGGACGAAATCTGATTTGTTCGCATCCGTTTATGGTGTGCGAATGTTGCATAAATACAGCATTTTCAGATATTTACAGAAAATTAACACGTTGAATTCGATTCTAAATAACTGTTCTTGTACGAATGTTTTCCTTGCAAACATCTTTAAGCTCAAAAAAGGCTTATATAACTTTTTTATGGTCAGAAAAGCCTTAGTTATTTCCTTTAGTTAGGAAATTTTTATTTTCCTGGCAAAAATTCTTAGAAAGTATTCTTTGACTGGGTAGTTCTTTTTTCCGGAATTGACTAACATAGAAACACAGTTAAATACATGCTCTGTCTCAGCTTGCTAAACTTTTAAATAAATAAACCAGTTGAATTAGCTTTTATTTTTATTTCTTTGAAAACTTTTAAGCAGTTAGAATATTTGCAATTCATTGTGTGAAAGCAATGTTATTGCTATGAGTAGGTCCCTAGTGCTTTGTTAACTACATGGTTGGATGTCATTTTAATAAAACAAATTTAAGATTTTGCACTACTAGATTCCCAACGAATAAATTCAGTGGACCAATGACATTAGAGAGATTACAGTTCTGAAACAGTGAAAGAAAAAAAAGACTATTAAAAAAAGGTATTTAGATTTATGTAACGTAGGAGTCTCGAAGCACGTAGCAAGCAGTTATATATAAATAAAAACACAAAGACTTTTCCTTAAAGTGCCTATGACGCCTGACAAAATAATTTTTTATTCTCTGTGAGCTGATTCTATATAAAATAAATAATTGAATGGTGAAATATTTCTGCATTTCAGTGTTGCGTCTTTGAGTTTTGAAGGTTTAATCTTCCAATATGATAATGATAATGACGTCAATCATTTGATATGCGAACTTTGAAACAGTCGCTCAAAAATGTTTCCATGGCCACCATCTGGGAATAGGGTTATTCCCTACATTGCATACGATAAATTTAATTCCATGAAACCATTTTTAAGCGACTTCTTCAAAGTTCGTATATCTAATGAAGCCTTTTTTGACGTCATTTTCATGAACATATTGTAAGATTGAACCTTTATAACTCAAAGACGCCACAATAAAATGTAGAAATATTTCACCATTCAATTATTTATTTTATATAGAATCAGCTCACAGAGAATCATAAATTTTTGTCAGGCGTCATAGGCAGTTAAAAGGTAAAATGGCTCTATTGATTACCTCATTCTCCGTTTCCACAATAACGCAGACGGCAGGCAGGAGTTTTATCTAGTTCATAAACATAGAACCCACCACAGTTGCGCACGCGAATACTATTCGTCCAATAGCAGCAGTTACCACGCCAATTGTAACATGCTTGTCTAGTGACAGCCCCGTGTGCCTGGCTTGGATGATTGCCTTTCATCCATCCAGGGGCATGAGCCCCACAGTGGCGTCTAGGAGGGCATTCAGTTGCGATAGATGTTCCTGCCTCGCCTTCAAAGCGGTACCAGCCTTTGTTGAGATCCTTGTCACACTTTAAATAGCTTGCTCTTACTTTCATGGATCGGTCACGAGCGTTCAATGTCTTATAATTTTTGCATTCTATTAAATTTAAAATACAGATATTGACGACTCCAACAATAACTTTCGTTCTCATTCACGACTGACACAATTTAAAAACGAGGCAAACCTTACATGGCAGCGCATATAAACTTATGCATTGTGTTTCACGTTTGAGATAGCAGTGAATCTACAAGTTGTTCACTACCCTTCCTCCACAGGGGTTCATATTGTAAGACACTTTGTTTGTTATGTATAGCAGGTATAGTGTTAGACTACGTCTCCCTGACATTTAGTTAATCAGTTAGTAATAGATCTTGTAAGAGTTTTAAGCGATTCGTCAGCAGTTTTATAGTTTGCTTGATAAATTAAAATATTTCCAATTCATACACCAGTAGTTAAAAATTACCAGGAAAAATAGTTTTGAGTTTTCTATGGATAAGATCAACATTGAATTTACAGAATAATTAGGAAATGTTCAAGAATCATTATTATCGTATTTTTATAAGAAATTAGTCTAGTTTAAGTTCATAACCCAGTTTCGAAAAGCCAGAAAACAGAGCAGAAACTAGGAGGTACATTTTCACTGCCGCGATGTTCCCTTGTGGTCCAACAATATAGCATACACACCACTGTTGATCAGTGCGAAGTGTACCGGTACGTGTTGGATTGTGGCTCATACCTCCTTGCTAGAGGTATTCCGTTGTAACCTGAGGCCAATGCTGTTGGACAGGCCAACCTCAAGGCATTGCAGATAAAATGCGAATGATGCATTGAGCACTGTTATCAAGAGAAAAAAAACTTACCGAAAGGAAGTACAACGTATTCTACAAAAAAATATGAAAAAAATAGAATGTCGTTACTGGAAAAGTGCATTTACACGAACTCAAAACTAAGAAATATTTTCAATTCATTTATTATTTTTTTAGCTTCAGAGAAACCAGTTCTTGAAAACAGTTATATAAGCGCAAAGGCTCATCCATTCTTTCTTTTTAAACAAGAACTTGATATATAAAATAAAGGATGTTAAGAAAATTCGTGAAGGTGAAACTCATCGCTCGCTTAGAGAACATTAACACTAACTTACTGGTTT